TCCTATGCAAATTTGGGGGCAACTGCCCCCTCAAAATAGAAAGTCAGCAATCAAGTTACAACAACAACTAAGTCATTTTAAACCAAAGCAAGTGACATTTCTGTTTTTAAACCTTTTAGCATTTGTTCTGGATGGGGGAGGGGAGGGAGGGCAAAATAACTGAAAACTTAGTCCAGGGCTGCAGTCTGTACACTCTACCTGGCCTCCCCACAGAAAAGGGAGATACTATGACAGGTTGAACTGCTGTCTGGGGGGGAGTTGCTGTGGTGACACTGGCTGGAGTGGAGGTAGCAGAATTTGAAGAGAGGCCTGTAGCTGGAGCAGTATAAACATCTGGGGAGGCTGAAACTCCTGCAGAGTTCACCAACACCTGGAAAAGAGTCAGAGTATTCAGCAGACTGCCTCTGCAACTGGCTTTGACAGAGACTACAGAAATACCACATACTTCAAAAATTCTCACTTTATATAAACCATTTTGGAAATCCTAGCTGTAAAGGCACCTAACTACCCAAATTCTCTAAAAATTGGCTCAAAAAATACCAGTTTAAAGTTACAGACACCTGCAAGGCTCTTCTGTTTTGCTTGGTTTTGTTGCAGCAAATTGTAATCTTTGCTGTAAGATGCTGTAGGGGACCCCCACAAACTGACACAATGCAAGCAGAGTGGTTTCCTCTCCACAGGGCTACCATGATAAAGCAGGAGATAAAGTACCAGATACTACACCTTCTGGGGATAGCTGTAGGAAGTCCCTTCCTCGTGAGGTGACACCGAGACAGGCCCTTCTTCCTGAAGGGATTCCAAAACCAAGCATGGTCCATTTAAGTGGCAAAGAAGCCACGAGGCACACACCCCACACTCCTGGTTTTTTTTTGTTTTGTTTTGTTTAGTTTTATTTTTTTTATTATTTATGGACTATACACCCACACAGATCATCTTCCATAGCTCAAGTAAAAGCAGTTTTATTCTGACATGCACAGGACTGCTTTCACACCCACTGAAGAGCAGCAGGTGAATAAGACTTAGTTTCAAATTGAAAAAATAAAGCTCCAAGGTCAGTTCTATCACAGATGAGATCTCTTCAGTCCCACAGTGGAGGACTAAGATTAGCTGGAATACAACTTGAAAGGCAGCATGATAAAAGCAAGTGCTGTCTGGAGTAGAAAAAGAAAAGTAAACAGCACTCAAATAGACATTTTCTCTTCCACAGAGCAAAAGATGAAAAATCATTCATGTATCCAGTGCAATTCAAACTTGACTGCTGATAAAAACCTCACTATTTAGGGAGAAAAGGAGGGGGAATGTATAAATGAAACCAACATGCCTTTCTAAGAAGTCTCTGACCTGCTGTGTTAAGCCTGCATCCAAGGACATTTCCTGTGAAGAATACTACACACCTCAAGGGTCCCACATCTGAAGAGACTGTGACTAAAGCTTACCAAGTTTGCTGTAGGTTCTGCTGAACTAAATACTGTTGCAGTTTCACAGTCAGGATCTGGAGGGCATAGGTAAAATTAATTGAAAAGAGCTGCATTAAATCTAATCCTTCAGAAACGTATAAAAATGTCTTAATATTACATTCACCAAATATTCTATCAGTAAAGACTACATTTTTACTTACCTGGGGGTGCATAGATATATTCTTCATGAAATTTTCCTACAAGGGAGATAGAACAGGAAGCTTTGATTCAAGAATAGGGGAAAAAATAAAGCTTGGAGTTACAACTACATTTTAGTGCATCCATTACTAACATGTTTTGAGTATCATCTTGCTTTGTGCAGAAAAAGTAAATAAACTCTGAAGCTACTTGGTGGAAGAACAAATGGTGTTATCAAGGTTGACATTACCAAATTTACACCATGCATTTTTAAGCAGCAACTTAACTTGCTACAAACCTCCACAAAGGTGCTGGTGTAGCAGCTTAAACAGAAGAGACACATTTGTATCAGACAACAAAGAAATATAATGTGTTCACACACATGTTCAGAGCTCACAACAAAGAGATCTCTAGGAGGTGTAAGGACCCCCCTTGGACAATCAAAAGCACATCGAAAAATTTATAAATCTGGTTTCTTGCCTACTAATCCCTTAAGAACTCACCATTTTCACTTATTGCTTCCTCCTCCTCTGAGGAATTCAGGGTCTGCTTGTTAGGTGAAACAGAGTTCTGGTTTCTCCTTGCTACCCAAAATCCTGCTGGACTATGGACAGTGGGAGCAGGACTACTCTGGCTCTGAAAAGCAAACTCAGAAGCATGCATTTAGAAATAATTTAAAGCCTTTCCATGCTCCACACAGATGCACACACACAGTAGCAACAGGCTGGCAGATGAAGCTTTCTGCAACCAAAGCTTACTAGAAGTATCATCTGTGTGTCCATTCCTATGCACTTGATTGCCACATAACAGTTGCAGTCACATTTTCTTCCTTTATCTTTTGTTCTGCCTGGAATACTTAAGGCAATTTTTTATTTCAAGACCTACCAGTGTTCTGTGCTATGCAGTCAAGTTGCTTCCTCCCAGAACTCAGTCAGCTCTAACACAGCTGAAAAGGAGGAAGGAGACCCCAGATAACAGCCAAGACTGCTACCTCCAACATGTATTACTGCATTCCTCACTCTGGAGCATCTGATCTACTAACAGCAGATCAGTTCATCCAAATACTCCAATTATCATGGACAAAGGTTATCTTTAGTCACCACCAGTGAAACCCAGGGGTTACTGCTGGCACGGACACCACTGTCTGCATGAACTTGACCCACACATGCAAGCCTGACTGTTTCAGACAGCAGCACATATCAAGTTTTCCCAAAGGACTCCAACATTTTACATGCCCTTTGTGTTTGCACTGAAGTCAGTACCTAGTTACACCACAATTTAAAAGATATAGTTCTCTGAAGCAGGACTATAGGATTGAGATGCTTGAGTAAAAGAACTCGATTCACTCTTTTGTGATAGCTGAGGTGACACTCAAAATTCTCCTCAGAAGACATAAAAGACTGAT